AGCCTCAAGTAGGTGAGATTGCAGGGGCCTGCCACTGTGCTCAGCTTAAGGAAAAAAAGAGTTGTTTTTCCAGGTTTGGTTCAGACGTTTGCTGGCAATTGACAGCACCTTTCTGGGCCTTGGTTTTGCATCTATTACACGAGCATGACGATGGTACCGACCCTAGAGGGTTGCTGTGGGGAGTTGAGGCAGGGGCTCCTTGTTCCTTGAGGCCCTGTTCCCAGGTCAGTCTGGGAAATGCCCACCCACCTCCTTTCCCATGTTGGAGTCTCATGGCAGCCTCTGGCAAGGAGAAGGCTAGGCAGTTCTGCATCACATAGTGTCCCCACTTCCTACATAGAGCCTTTGGGGCTAGAACTTAGGTCCTCAGCCCACAGTCCACAGTGAAGGAGGCACACTGACAAGGTCAACAGAAGGAAGACCATTCCTCATTCATTAGTTCCAGCAAGGCCACAAAGACACAGGGACGGTTGTGATTTTGCGGATGAGGAAACGGAGGCCCAGGGGTGCTGCTGGCTAGCCCCCGGGGTCACACAGCCAGGACACTTGGGACTGGGTTTGGAACCTAGGGAACCATCCTTGAACGGGTGCTTTGAGCACTGTGTGTGGCCCCTTGCGGCAGAGAGGATCCTGGAGGGAGGGCTGACCCCATCCTCCGCCCCCAGGCCCTGAGGATCGTCCTGCACAGCCTGGACCTCCGCGCCAACTGCTACCAGCGCTTCGTGGTGCCGCTGCTCAGCATCAGCGCAGACTTCTACGTGCGTGTGTTTGTGCGCGTCTTCACGGGCCAGGCCAAGGTCAAGGCCTCAGCCAGGTCAGCGGAGGGCAGGGGAGGCATGGTGGATTGAGGGGGAGATCAGGCCTTGTCCTGGGGACTTGGGGGTCCAAAAAGGGACAGAGCCAGTCTGAAGGAGGAGTTGGCGTGGCGACCACACTGGGAGCTCATCGCCATGCCCTGGATCCCACAGCAAGCAGGCGCTGGTCTTCCAGTGCGTGGGCTGTGGAGCCTTGCACCTTCAGCGCCTCGGCAAAGCAGCAGGAGCCTCTGGTGGCCGGTGAGCAGGGGTCCTTGGGCAGGAGGGTGAAGGTGTCCCAGGGTCACCACCTGCCTAACTGCCTTGCCCCTTGCAGGGTCAAGTTCTCTGCAGCCTGTGGTCCCCCTGTGAGCCCCGAGTGTGAGCACTGTGGGCAGCGACACCAGGTAGGACTAAGCCAGCGGAGGGAGGGGGTGCAGCAATCCCAGCGGCCACTCCCCGCCCCTGCTCACTGCTCCCTGTGTGTCCGCAGCTTGGTGGTCCCCTGTGGGCAGAGCCCATCCACAACCTGGATTTTGTGGGCCGCGTCCTGGAGGCTGTGAGCACGAACCCTGGGCGCTTCCACACCTCAGAGCGGATTCGGGGAGTCCTGAGTGTCATCACTGAGGTAGGGGTGGGCCGTGCCAGGTGGGGGGGCCCCACCTGTGCCCATGTCCTCTTGAGCCTGTCCTTTCCATCAGCTGCACAGCCCCTCCTGTGCCCCCTCAGGAGCTCCCGGATGTGCCCCTGTACTACACGCTGGACCAGCTGAGCAGCACCATCCACTGCAACACGCCCAGCCTCCTCCAGCTACGGTGAGGGTGGGGTGGGGGTGGCTAGGGTTCTCCAGCACACTGTGCCCGCCAGGCCGCCCATGCGTGGCCTTACTGCTGTGGTCGCTGGTGTGCCACTCCCCTGCGAGGAGTCCAGTCTCCCATCACAGTCCCTGCTGTCCCCAGGTCGGCCCTCCTCCATGCTGGCTTCCGGGTCTCACTCTCCCACGCCTGTAAGAGTGCAGTGAAGACGGACGCCCCCTCCACAGCTCTCTGGGACATAATGCGCTGCTGGGTGGGTGAGGGCAGGCTGACCACGTGGGGATGGGCGGGTGCCAGTCCCCTGAAGGCCCCTTGGGCCCAACATCCACTGACCTCCGCCCTCAGGAGAAAACGTGTCCTGTGAAACGGGAGCGACTGTCCGAGACCAGCCCAGCATTCCGCATCCTCAGTGTGGAGCCCAGGTACAGATGGGTAACTGCAGGAGGGAACAGGGCAGCCCACCAGTACGGTATGGGGACCCCTGTATGCAGAGGACAGACCCTCCCTGCACAGACTTTTTCAACGAAATCCAAAGCCTGCCCGCTCCTCCCTCAGCTTCTGCCCTCCAGACCCACCCACATCCTGGCTGTCACCATCTGCTGGGGGGGGCGGGGGCGGGGCTGTGCATGTCTGAAGCAGCAGAGCACCCTTCCTCTGCCCAGAGCCCTCCATGGCTCCCACTTCACTCGAGAGAAACCAAAGTCCTATCTGTGGCCCCCCAGACCTTGAAGAGCCCCCCACCATCTTCTCTGTGCTCTCTGCTCCTTGTTGACTCCTAGTCTCGCTGGGCGGTCATCTCCAGCTTCTGCCTGTGCTCGCTTGCCTCTCACCTCCTGCCTCCCCAGGGAAGCCTGCCTTGACCCGGCCACCTGGGCTGGCATCGCACCCCTCCCGGCTCCCGTGCCTTTTACCAGAACGCTCACCACATGTTCTGACACAATGTTGTTTACCTATTTCTGATCTTACCCTTTCTGATCTGACCCGTTGCTTGCTCATCCGTCTCCTGTGCTAGACAGTCAGCCCCGCCCCGCGCAGGCCTATTCCCAGCATAGAGAACCATGCAGACTTGATAGTAAAAGCAAAATGTTTATTAAATGAATGACAAACCCGGGCAGGGGCAGCCACGGCAAGCTGCTCCAAGCTGGACAGGCTCCACAGTGGTCCCTGGACACCCATGCGGTGGCTGCCCCAGTCCTTATTCCCATTGCCCAGGCTGCAGGCCAACTTCACCATTCGGGAGGATGCTAACCCCAGCTCGCGCCAGCGGGGACTCAAGCGCTTTCAGGCCAACCCGGAGGCCAACTGGGGTCCCCGGCCCCGAGCTCGGCCAGGGTGAGTGGGGTTGTGGCTCTGCCAGGGCCAGGCGGAGGCAGCCACCAGCTGGGGTCCCAGCACTCTTGTCTACCTGCAGGGCCAAGGCAGCCAGCGAAGTGCTGGAGAGACGCAGGCTCCTCCAGAATAAGCGGAAGGACCCCCCTGAGGATCGGGCCCAGCGCGCTGCTCGCCTAAAGACATTTCCTTGTAAAAGGTTCAAGGAGGTGAGGTACCTCCTCTCTCCCCAAAACTTCTGGGCATGTGGATACCCCTCTTGGCCTGAAACAACTGGGGCCAGCCACGTGCTTGCAGAGGGCTTCACGGCACCCTCTTCCCACCAGGGCACCTGTCAACGAGGAGACCAGTGCTGCTACTCACACAGTCCTCTGCCCGGAGCCTCAGCTGATGCCACCCCCACAGACTGCCCAGAGACCCCCCCAACCAGAACCCCCCTAGACCCGGGACCCGCTGCTGGGCCAGGTGTAGACTGAGCCAATAAAGACGTCATTTTCTGCTGATTGTCATTCTGAGTGGGGAGGCTGGCTGTGGGCTGTGAGGGCCTCCTTCCCATCCATCCAGCAGCGTGACTGGGTCCTAGTCCTCTGTCTCCTTTTTCCTTACCTGAGGTGGCTATGCATCTGCCTGACTGGGAATAGGAGCTGACCATGTGTGGTATGTCCCTCTGCGGCAAAGTTGCTTAGACACCCCCCAGAGCTGCCACTTGCGATTCCCAAGGTGACCACAGGGCGGCAGCCTTGCGCTCGCACCCGTGGGACTTCTGCTCCTCCCCCCTCCCTTGGAGTGCTCCTGGGCCCAGTGCAACCAGCGAGCCCCAGTGTGTCCTCCCATTGCCACCGCCTCCCCGCTGCCTGGTTTCTTTTGGCCCAGCTCTCCCGGGGCTGTGGCGGCGGAAGCTGGACCGGAACCAGGCACTCTGTACATCCGCTCCAGACCAGGTGCTTCCTGCCCTGTGGCCCAAGTGGGGGTGCTTGAAGAGAGGGGCCAAGCAGGCTGCTGCCCAGACACCCAATGAAGGGAAGCTGCATCCCCCTCCCCCGAGGGCAGGGGCTCAGTAACCTTAGGGGGAATCCTGGGGCAAAATTCCTGTCCACCACGTGCACCCTTCATCCCCAGCTGAAAAGGAAGACCAATTCTAGAACTCCCTTGTAGGGGCATCAATTAATTCACGGGCTTAAAACTTGAGTTTCCCCTGGGTGGGGTGGGGGACAGGAGGGCGGTTGGTTCTGGACTCCAGGGAGGGTGGTGGCTGTGGTGGTAGGTGGCAGTGGAGGGCCTGCCTGGGGAACGCCTGCCGTTAACCAGGTACAGGGCAAAGGAGAACAGATCCTTATGCAGGATAGGGGATAAGGAGAGGTCTGTGCTGCTACTTAGCTGTGACCAGAGTCCCTCCCTTTGTGAGCTTTCAGCCTGGTCCTGAACAGAACCATCATTCCAGGATGCTGCCAGCCAGGAGGTGGCTCCACCCTTCGTGGTGACTAAGTAGTCCAGACATCCAGGTTGTGGGGACTGATTGGGGCAGCCACTGAAGTCCTCTCCAGTCCCATCACCTAAGAACTGGACCTGGAAATGGGTGGAGTGTGCCCCAGAGCTCAGAACACTGCTCAGCCCAGCGGCTCAAAGCCAGGCCACCAGAACTGTATATCCTGGGGTGCCCCACCCCGTCATGGGGGTGGAGAAGTTGGGAGGGGATCTGTTAAAAAAAAAAAAAAAAAAAAGAGGAACCAACCAGGCGGGTTAGGAGGGGAGAAGGGGGCCCCCGGGTCACGAGGCCCCAGTGGGCCGGAAAGGGCCCTCCTCCACCCCATCAGCAGAGACACTCCATTAGGGCAGGGGGTGTTCAAAGCCAAAGGACAGATCCAGACAACACCAAAGGCTGAAGTTTCCATGCCTCGGTTTCCCCTCGGTATGCATCCAGGCCCTTCCCCCAGGCTGTACGCTGGGGCCGGGGTAGTCCGGTGCCTGGGGAAGCGGAAAGCCGGCCGGTGAGGGGTGACCGCCGAGTGCTGCCCGCGCCGGCCGGGGGCGGGGCCGGGAGGCGCGCGCTCGGAGATCCCCGCCCGCCGGTTTCCTCCGGGGTCAGCCCGGCTCCTTATCAGGCGCGGCCAGGCGGCCTGGCCCTTATCTGAGCTGGCCCAGCATCCTCTGGCCGCTGCGCCGGGGGTGAGAGGGAGGAAACCCGGCCGCCGGGGGCGGGGAGAGGGCGGGCCGGGCCGGGAGCCGTTCACTTTCCCTCGGGGAACCCACGCCGCCACCGGCCGCCGCGGCCTTCGGGAGCCCGATAGGAGGCGCGGCCCAACTCCTGGGCCGACGGGGCGCCCTGGAGGGCATTGGCTGAACCCCGACAGCGGAAACCGCATCCTGGCCTGGACTGCCAGTCCTGCGGAGACAGAGCCCAGGCACTCACCAGGCTGCTGGAACAGCGCCGGGGTAAGAAGGGAGCCGGCTTGAAGGTGGAGGGTCTCTGCCTGGGACCCCACCAGCATTCCTTTGTTCGTTCATTCATTCATTCATCAGCCAGGATTCCCTAAGCTTGGGGCCAGACCAGCTTCCCCAGCTGGAGAAGTCAGGGCAGAGGGGCAAGGAGTTCCACACCTTGCTGGGACACCCCAGACCCTGGGGTCCCACAAACAGGAATGTTTGAAGGGTGCAGGGCTGGGAGTGCAGCTCACTGGCCTTAGCATGGGCAACGTCCTGGGTTAATTCCTAGCATTGCAAAAAAGAAAAAAAAAAAAAAAGGGGTGCAAAAGTATAGATGCTGGTGGGGGTGGGTGTCTAAGCCAGAGGGAGGTGTGAGCTAGACTGAGCTGGAGTGGGCACTGGAAACAGTGTTGTTGGTCCCAGGGTCAGCATCAGGCACCATCATCACCCTATGATAGTGGGATTACAGGATTAGTAAGGGGAACATTTTCAGCAGGAGCAAGAGTTCCAGAGCAATTATGGAGGGCTTCCAGGGTCAAATGTGGAGGCAGGGTGAAGAACCTCAGGGCCATACCTGAAGTCCATGGGGCCAGCCTTGGGGTGTGTGGGGGGGAAGGGGTGGCCAGAGAAAGAGAGTGGATCTTGGAGGGACTCCAAGGTCACATGGCACCAATGAGTCAGTGAAGGATCTCAGAATCAGATCTTCAGATCTGAGGGTCACAGTTTCAATCTTGGGGTTTCAGGAGATCCCAGGGTCAGTCGGGGGCTTCTTCTTTGTCTCAGCTCTAGGCTGTAGGTGAGAGGGAATTCTGGGAGAAACTGGAGGCACATCCCCTCACAAACAGCCCAGAGAAGGCATTGCCAGGCGCCATGCTGCCTACCACCTGGTAGACAACCCCTCTCTTGTAGAGAATGCCCTCCGATGTCCTGGTAGTTTCTGGAATCACTCACTTGTCTTTCCCACTGAACTTCCACCCTCCTTCCTCCCCGCTTTCTTTCCATTTGAAGGTTCTGTTAGCCTAAGCAGGTGAGGGGAGGTCACACCTGTTCCTCCTCCCACTGGCTCCCCTCCCTCCCACAGGTGAGCACCCCTCCTCGGGGTCCATGTGCCCACCCCAGGCCCTGGCAGAGGTGGGCCCCACCATGACTGAGAAGGCTGAGATGGTCTGTGCTTCCAGCCCAGCCCCTGTCCCACCCACTAAGCCTGCCTCACCTGGGCCTCTACCCTCAGATGAGGTGGGCCACAGAGGTGGCTCCCCATCCAGGTTGCCCCCTGGTGTACCAGTGATCAGCTTGGGTCATACCAGGCCCCCAGGGGCAGCCATGCCCACCACAGAGCTGAGTGCCCTCCGGCCCCCCTTGCTGCACCTCTCCACTCTGGGAACTACCCCGCCCACCCTGGCTCTGCATTACCACCCTCACCCCTTCCTCAACAGGTCAGTGGGGAGCTGGGGCTTGGGGGAGGTGTTGGATATTGGGGGCCAGGGTCTTTGCCCACAAGGCATTTGTGACCCACAAACCCTTACAGCGTCTACATTGGGCCAGCAGGACCTTTTAGCATCTTCCCTAGCAGCCGGCTGAAGCGGAGACCAAGCCACTGTGAGCTGGACCTGGCTGAGGGTGAGTGTGTGTGTGTGTATGTATACTTGTGAGTGGCTCTCTCTGCCTGGGCCCAGGTCTGTACCACACTCTTCCACAGGAAGATGTGTTTCCAATGCACACACATACATGCACTCATAGGTCGTACCCAAGTACAAGACTACAGTCCCATAGTCCCCACTCCAGCACTATCACTGAGCAGCCACGCCTCACAGCCGCACAGTCACAGCAAAACAAAGTTGGCCACAGTGGGGCATAGGAGCCACAAAATGACAGCTCCACTGAGACATACAGCCATGAAAGAGCCACAGGACCAAAGATACACAGGAGACATCCACACAACCACAACCACACAAGAGTCAGCCACAGAACCACAGCTATGCATGAAACATCCACCACCACATGATAGCGCCACACATGAGCACAGCCATCAGGTCGACCAGGAATCACCTGGCCACATGAGACCCCAACAGGACCACCGTCATCAACAATGCGAGTACTTCTCAGAACGATAGGCACACCCAGCTGCACACTGAGAATGTGGGCCGCAGGGGGAGTTTCTCAAAGTGACAGCTCCAAGGAAATGTTTCCTTGGGGACTCTCAGCCATGGTCATGAAGGTGCAGAGAAGTGCCCTGGTGTCTACAGTCTGGACTTAGGATCCTTCTCTGTGGGGCCCGTGGGCAGAGGGGAAGCTACACATAGACCCCACACATGGATCCCTTGTGTGGTGGTGCCACAATCCACCACCTGGGCGTAAATCCCATGAAGGTGCTGTGTGTGCCTAAGTGAGGTTGGGAGGGGGTGCCCTCTGGGCCTGGAGGGTAGCCCCGCCCGTCCTATCTGCAGGGCACCAGCCCCAGAAGGTAGCACGGCGCGTGTTCACCAACAGCCGCGAGCGCTGGCGGCAGCAGAACGTTAACGGCGCCTTCGCAGAGCTCAGGAAACTGCTGCCGACTCACCCGCCCGACCGGAAGCTGAGCAAGAACGAGGTGCTCCGCCTGGCCATGAAGTACATCGGCTTCCTGGTGCGGCTGCTGCGCGACCAGGCAGCCGCGCTGGCTGCAGGCCCCGCCCAACCCGGGCCCCGTAAACGGCCTGCTCACCGAAGCCCAGACGATGGCGCCCTCCGGGGGTCCGGGCGCAAGGCCGAGGTGGCGGCGCGCTCGCAGCCCGCGCCCGTGGCAGACTCCGACATCAACCCCAATGGGGCAGTACGGCCCATCAAAATGGAGCAAGCGGCTGTGAGTCCCGAGGTGCGGTGACCCCCATACAGCGGCGCCTCTGAGCCGTGGGTGCCACCGAAGACTCAGACAGGGACAGTGGAGGAAAGGTCTCGCTTCGCCGGCTCCCGAGAGAACTGTCAAAGAGGGACTTAGACACAACGTCCCCGATAGGGGAGAGATCCTGGGGGTCTGGAAGGGTGACCATCATCCCAAGGGGCCCCGCAGACTTTTTTCAGCCCTGTAAATTACCCAGGAAGCGCGGTCGTCGGACCCAAGTGGTGCCCCACCTCTGCACTTGTGGGGGTACTGGGGTCGCTGTGGGGGAGGGAGGAGTCTTCCCCTTCTCACGGCGCCCCCTCCTGGAGACTCAAAAACTGACTCGGATGGCGTGAGCGGCGCACCTGGCGCCCGAAGAGCCAGGCAGCATAGACACCCGGCACCTAAGCCCACAGACTCGACCCGGTCCCGCACGATCGCGTTAGCGAAGGCTCTGGAGCTCTTGCTTTTGTTTTTCTTTATTTCTTTATTTCACATACACATTAGCCATTCAATGGAGAAGCCGGAGAGAGTCAGGCAAAGATGGTATAACAGAAGCGCAGTGACGGGGGCGGGGCGGGGCGGGGCGGAGAGGGAACAGACGGGCTGGCTGCCTACTTGCATTCCGCTAGGACACTGAAAACCCAGAAAACAAAACAGACAGTAAACTACCCTTGTTTCTTATGTATCTCAGTGCAGAGACGGGGGGCGGGTGGAGGGCAGAGAGGGGGAGACCAGGCTGAAGGAGGAGGAGCAGAGGGAGGGGGACGCTAAGGGGGAAGCACACCAAATCCATTAGTACTATATATAGAGATACTCGTATATACTGCGTTTCTTAGCCTAAGAAGAAACTTGTTTGACGGGACGGGCGGCCTTTGCGGTCCGCGATGCTGGTGCTGGTCGGGCGCACGGATCTCCCGGGAGGGGCTGAAGCGGGGCTGGCCCAGGCTGGCTTGCGGGGTGAAGGGGGCGCCCCAAGGGTGGGTGGGATGGGGGCAGCAGAGGTGGGGCTGGGGTGCCCCTCGGGCTCTCGATTGGGGGACAAAAGTTCTCGTGACTTTATTGCTCCTTATTTTCTCTCGTGTGTGTGTGTGTGGGGGGGGGGGGTCCGTTCAGCACGGTCGGGGTGGGGAAGTGGTGGGTCGTCTGAGCCACCCGGCCCCTCTGGGACCCAGAGCGCGGCGTCCGCTCCGCCAGCACGGGGGTGAGAACAAGGCACTAGGTCGGCCGGCCAGCGCGGGGGCGGGTGTGTAAGGCAGTCGACAGGGCTGGTTGCGGGATGGGGCGGGGCTATGTGCGGGGCCGTGTGCGTGCGTGCGTGCGAGCGCGGGTCTGGGCAAATCAACCTGTCAGCGTGGCTGGTCCTGTCCTGGAGCATCGAGCCTTCCGGGTGCTCCCCGGAGCGGGCCGGGGAAGGAGTGATGTTGAGTAGTGGTGGTGGTGGTGGGGGTCACCGGGGAAGAGGTTCGGGGAGGAAACTACCAACTTGCTGAGCGCGCTCCTGATAATGCTGGTGAGGGTCAAGTTGGCGTCTGGCTCGAAGAAGGGCGCTCGGGGCGGAGAGGGAGGGAGGGAAGGAACATTTGTTCGTTGGCATTGACCTCTGCAGGGGAGGGGCTTGGGACCCCCTGCCGCGCCCCTGTGCCCAGAAGGCGATGGTGCGAGGAGGGGGCGCAGTGCCCAGGGAGGGGACGCCCGGGGAGATCCGCGGCAAGAGCAGCCCAGCCGCCGGGCGCACGCCGCTGTCCCGTTCCGTTAAACTCAACAAAGAAGGGATATGCGTGTTCCTAACAAGTGCAGGATATTTAATTGATTCATAAACTTATGTATAATAGTTTGTGGGTTTTTAAACGTACTTTATAATGTAAGAAGCACCAGGGTTTTTATGTTTAATTATCTTAAAATAATTTTCTCTCGTCCTTTTTTCCTTTTTGATATTGTGTTGGTTTTGTTTTGTTTTGATTTTTCATGTCGAGGTGTTTTGTTTTGTTTTTTTTAACTTCAAAATGTGTACGTTTCCTTCAGCCCTCCCACCGAAACCGAGAACGAACGACGAAACAAATAAAAACCCCAGATCATCCTCGTCAACGCAGGAAAATGACTTAAAAAAAAAAGAAAAAGAAGAAAAAAAAGAAAGGAAAAAACACTCAGCTTTCGTCATCCCCGCGCAGGGCGGGGCAGGCCTAGTTCTTTTAGCGTCCCCAGAGCCGCGAGGACATTACAACAAAAATAGATTTTTTTTTTTTCTTAACAATCTCTTAACATACAAAGATAGGAAAACTCTCTGATGCATTGCACTTGGTTCAATGAAAAAAAAAGTTCATTTCCCCCATATATATATTTTTGTGGGTTTTTTTTCCCTCTCCTGACACGTCCCCACATCTGTCGCCCTCATTGCCCTTCGCCTGCCCCTCACACCACTACTTGGGAAAGGAGCGCACCTTGCCCGCCCAAACGACCCCGCCGGGCCCAGCTGGCCTGCAGCTTTCGACCTCGCCCGGGCGGGTGCCCCGCAGACCCCGGCTCCCACAGTGTCACAGCACACCGCGGCCCGATTGTCTTCGACGGAAAGGGCGCACGCGGCCGGGCAGGGACCACCCCCCTTCCGCTCCTCTTAGCTCTGACCCTGTTTAGCCAACCGAACTGAAAAATCATTGCACTTTGACCGCGCGTCACGCCCGGCCCGCCCGGCCCCCCACCCCGGGGCCTTGCTCCTCACGCCCCGGGAGTCTCCCACGGGATCTCCTGCCCCTCAGCCCTGGGGTCCTCTCAGCGTGGAACGCCGAGGAGAGCGGGGGAGGGCTTCGCTCAATTTCCAACAGAAGCCGCCCCTGGGGCCAGCCACCTAGCGGCTTCGCCCTGGGGAGCAGGCACCACCTGCCAGCCGCGCAGCCCCAGGTAATGGCCCTCCTTCCTCCCCGGACGGCTCCTTCCCTCCTTCCGCCAGCTCAGGGCTACAGCCTCACAAACTAGATTCTCAATAAATAAAGCCCATAACCCACCCCTACTGGTGCAATGTTGGATTGATTGACTTTCAGAGGATCCTGACCTGTGCTTTGTGTTTTCATACCGTTAAGAAAGAGAGAAAGAGAGGCACAAGGACTTGAAAAGGGGGTCAGGGAGAGGAGACGCAGGAAGGAGGGAGTAAGGCACAGAAAGACAAGCCAGAGGGGCCAAGTCACACCCTGGAGGGGGCTGGGCGTGCTCATGCTCCCCTCCCTCCCAGGGGGACTTCTAAAGAACCTCTGGACAGGCCCCCACCATCCTTTGGGGAAGGAGGGGACTTGGGGGGAGCTACTTCCTGTGGTGTGTTACCAAATTGTTCCCAAGTTGCTCAAATAGAGGAGGAGTTCCCAATTGCAACAGCAAAGACCCAAACAATGACTGCCCCACCCCTAAATAAAGAGTAAAGACATTACAGCTAAAATCCAGAGAGAAGTGGCCATGGGGGGTGGGTGTGGTGGGAAAGGTGGGGGACAGAAAGCTCCAAAACACTTTTGAAAAGGACAACACCCAACACCCTCCAAAGGAACTGAAAGTCGGCGAGCAGGACGCCTACCTAAGCGCAGGTGGCAGCTTAACCGGCGCAGCAGCAGAAGCTGCTTCATCCTCCTCGATTGGCTCCAGGGGTCCCCTTTCTGCTCCATCTCGGGCTGGCCCCAGCAGTGCTGTAAGCATGAGGGGCAGGGGCAGGGACCAGTGGGGCGGAGCGAGGGCACCTGCATGCAGGGCTGGGGCGCAGGGGCGACCTGGAGCCCAACTCCCTTCACTCCTGGCGGGAATAGGGACAGCCCTCCTGGTCTTCAGAGAGAGGGAATAGGAGGCCTGTCCCAAGCTGGGGCGGGATCAGTTAGAGCATTCCATCTTTTTCCTGTGGACTGTACAAAGGGGTTTGGGGCCTCAGGAACTGCCCCTAACAGCTCAGGGTGGAATGGCAGAACACCTTCCATTCTGGGCTGATGCAGCAGGTAGCTCCAGGGGGTACCCCCTGCCCACCCGAGGGCCTCTCTCACCTGGTCTGGAGCAGCTAGGGGTAGAAGCCAGAACCCAGGCAAGAAGGGAGAGATGGAGGGGGCCAAGTATAGAAGGGAGAGCTCGCCAACCTACACCCCATTATCTTCACAAGCTGGTCCTCCAGGCTCCCCAGGAAAGCTCAGGCTGGAGTGGAGAGTGGGGTTCCCTAGAAAGGGTAAGGGTGGGGGCCAGGCCCCTTCAGAACTGTGCTGGTTGCTCTGTTTGGGAATTTTGCTCCTTCCCTAGAAGGCCGGGCTGGGATGGGGAGAAGGCAGTCCTGCCGCATCCTTTCTTTCTGTCTGTCCTCTGCCTGGCAGAGTCCGTTTTGCATGTTTCTTTCTGCTTGGCTGCTGGTGCACAGCTCCGTTGAGACCCCTTCCGAGGGCTCTCTGAGAACTGGGCTGCTTCGGGGGCCTGCAGGGGTCCCCGGGCTGGAGGAGAGAAGGGCTGAGTGGCTGACGACATCTAATTTTTGCTTTTCGGTGGGGCTGGGCTGGGCTGGGGGATTTTTCCATGTCTCAAAATTTCTTCTCCCCCCTTTTGAGGAACCTCTTCTTTTCATTTTGCTGTTTCTTTGTCGATCTTATCAGAGGAACCAGGACTGAAAGGAAGCCGGGGGGGGGGAAAAAAAAAAGGCAATATTGAGAACAGTTGGGGCATGGTCCCTGGCACTGTGACTGCTGATTCCTTGAGGATCCAGCTCAAAGTCCAGCTATAAAGAGCCAGGGTGCTGGGCAATTGACCCACCACTGGGGAGGAAGTGCAGCTCCCCTTCATGGGAATCCCCCCAGACCCTGCACCCCAGTGCTAGAGTCCAGCTGGCCTTCCCGTGGGCACAGTGCCCAGCGGGTGGGACCCCCGTGGCTGGCGCTGGCACAAACCTGGGATCTGGCCATGTTTGCAATTGTTTAGGTTTTTGTGTGGGTCCTGGAGGGTGGGGAGGATGCCAGGCTTGAGCTTTTGTGCCCAGAGGGGTTTGAGGAGTGGGGTGGGGGTGGCCCAGCTTCTTGCTGAGTTTTCTTTCTGTCTCTTTGGATTAAAAGCAGAAATTCCCGTCTGAACATCCCAGCCAAAGTCCCACAGGCTGAAAGGCTGGGGGCGGGGGAACCACATGGCTTCAGTCCCCAGCAGTGCCAGACCTGGGGGAGGGGCCATAGCCCACCCTGCAGATCCTTTACCCTTAGGGCACTAGAGTCTGGGGAAGGACCCAAGGCTCCCTGGGGTGGGCGTCCTTCCCTCATGAAGCCAGCAGGGGGCACCGCCTTCCCACATACAGGGCGTTGTCTAGCAGCTCTGCACCCAGCACACCCTGGGTAGACCCCAGAGGCAGGGCAGCTTGCAATCTGCTCTCCATCAAAGGCTACAGTCCAGACCCAAGGCCAAGGGTTGGGTCAGGAGGCTGGGTACACCTGACTGTATCTACAAAATGGGGGTCTCCAAGACTGGGTCACAGTTGCTGGTCTGTGGGGATCAGACAGAGCTAACTACCAGAACGCATGCCAGATGTGTTCATTCTATCCTTACCCAGCCCCTCACAGAAGCCAGGCATAGAAAGGGTAGGTGCCCTGCCTGAGGCCACACAGCCTTAGGGTGACACAGCTAGGACTGAAATGCAGGGGGCAGTGAAGAATTCATGCTCCTAACTGCTACCAGTGTGGTGATCATGAGGAGGCAGGGTCTGTAGTGGACAGAATGCCTGCACCCTGTCTAGAGCCTGGCCTTCCACACTGGAGTAAGAGCCCTGGTGACTGGAGCCACCAACTTTTCAAAAGAAGCTAGAAGTGCAACAGAATTTCATGTGAAATTTTCCAATATTTACTTTATTATTCCAATATTGGTTAGCTTATGGTCTACAGGCCAGATCCACGACTCAAGTTCTGGTTGGGACCACATGATGTTATTCACTGTGAGATGGGACACTGAGTGTGAGAATTAGAAAGGGATTCAGAGAAGCCAGGTGCACTGGCACATGCCTGTAGTCCAATACTCAGGAGGCTGAGGCAGAGGATCACTTTAGTCCAGGAGTTGGAGACCAGCCGGGGCAACATAGTAAGATCCCTCTTAAGAAAAACAAAAGCAGTGGGGGATAGGGTTCAGAGATCTCTGGAACTTTTTGTGACAACAGAAATTCTATCTGTGCTGTCCAATGCAGTAGCACAAATGGTTTCTCAGCACAATCAATATGGATTCTGACTATATATTCTTTAGTTGATTCATTTAAATGTTCACAGCCACATGTGGCCAGTAGCCACCACAGTGGATGGGTATCTGTGGTATCTATAAATGTGGGATCTGGGATTGCCACAGTGACCAGGCACTGCTGGCTAGCAGAGATGAACCGCCTGTCACATACAGGAAGATATGCTCATAGGAGACCTGTCCTCCCTCTGTGCATTCCCCGAGCACCTGCCCCAAGTCTGACCTGTCAAACGAGTAAAAACCAAGCAGAGGCTCAGGGGGTCTGATGAAGATGAGGCAGAAACCCAGGTCTGAAGCACCCCAGAGTGAGCAGAAGAGAGCCAGGGCAGCAGCTAGCTCCTGGGCTTCCCATCCCGCGCCCTTCGCCCTGGCAGTCTATGGGACCCCTCTTCATAAGAAATGACTATGCAGGACTCTTGTACGACTGTTCCCAAATTGGGGGCAGCCAGCTCCGGAGCCATCTCTCCTTCAACATGGACAGGGAGGGCTCTAGCTGCCCTGTCTGTTAGCAGATCATTCCAAGGCCCCAAGCTGGCCCCTTTGGGGTTTCATGAGCTTCACAGCAGGGGGCTCAACAACCAAATCTCAGGTTGGGGGCCCTCCTCAGAGGAGGAAGACTCGGATTCCAGTCCTGGAGCTGGGGACAAAGGCAGTTCCAAGGGAGCTCCCTGGCACCTCCCCACAGGTCCCGAGAACAGAAGATCTGCTGCCAAGCACGGAGTGGCTTTTCTGCTCACCCTCCCTGCTTCCTGAGCCAAGTCCAAAACTGATTAAAACTAAGTAAAAAGCGCTGCCCAGGGAATGACAAAATTGCTAAAATTCTCTTTTCTTCCCTCATTCTATTGTTCTCTCTCCATCTGGTGCTCTAGGGATCAGCAAAAGTCACTCGTTACTGTGGAAACCACTTCTGACTGTACCCCCTGTGCCCACTGCAGCCGCCCGCCTGCCCCAGGCCCGGGGACTCCTGCTCAGCAGCATGTCCTGCTCTGGCTTTCCCGCTGCCCCCTCGACACACCTGCCTGCTCAGGCGCCCTAGACCCTGGCAGAGAATTCCTTCCCCGAATGCCCAGAGCCCAAGATGGGAACATGGGAGAAGAGAAGTTATTTACCAGACTTGCCTCAAACTCTGCCTTGGCCCCAAAACGTCCAAGCAAAGACAGCAGAGAAAGTGAAGAAGGAGGAGAGAGGGGTTGACTGAACTGGGAGGGCTCTGGCAGTGGTCAAGCACGCGCACTGCAGAGCTGCAGGCGGCCAGGGGTACGGCAAGAGGGAGGGAGTAAGTGAGCCCTGCCCTTGATGCCAGCCCAGAGCCCAGAGGGGAGGCCCGCCTGCTGTCCCTTCCTCTGGCACCCCCTCCCGCCCTCTGCCAGCAGGGCTTTCTCGGCCTCCCTGGCACAGAGCAGAGGGGGCTGGCTCCAGCCCCTGCTCGGAGCCATTGTTTTTCTTCTCAACACCCCCAAGTTCAAGTTCATCTGGGTGTTACATCATGTCTGGTTGCTCCTGGAAACCAGACGGGTCAGACGTGACTCTGGGGAAAGGGGGTGGGAAGCTGGAGGGGGTTGAAGTTCCCTTCCCCTCCCCTCCTTGCCACTAGGGAGCTCTGAAGTTTGAAGTTTGACAAAGTTTTTTGGCTTTTTTTTTTTTTTTTTTTTTAAGGAAAGGAAAAGAAAGAAAGAAAGCAAGCTCTCAAGCCACACACACAAAACTTCCATCCACTAACTTTCTCTGGATGGGGGCCTCAGAGCAGAGGCGGAACAGGAACCAACAGAGGTAGCTCTGGGCAAAGGTGGTTTTCCCAGGGCCAAGAAAGTCCACAAGGAGGTGTTCTTGTAAAATGTGCAAAAGAAAGACATTTGCACACTCTTTTCTGAAACCCTGCCCTGTGAAAGCCATGGGCCCTCAACAGCTGGTGTGCCCTGCTCCTGAGGTGGGTCCTTCCTAGCTCCCAGAGCCCTGGGTTCTGCTGACTATTCTCAACCTCTTTGGGGACAGGTACACAGGGGACATCCACATGTAAGTGCAAGGCCAAGTCCAGGGGCTTCCAGCTAGAGGGGCTGAGGATGGGCTTATCCCTTTAAGAGAAGTAGGGATGGTGTCAGCAGAAGAGGGGAGTGGGGACTGGGGGCTCCAGCAATCTGGCTACCCCTAACAGGACCCATTGGGACTTGGGGGAGGGGCTTCCAGGGCAGCAGCCAGTCCTGCCCTGCCCTTGGTGCCAGAGTCTCTGGGCACTCAGCCCACCAGGCCCACTCTGTCCCTCCTCCACCATTGCCCAGCCCACCCAAAGCCAGGGAAAAGGGGAGGGCGGGGTGGGGGGTGTATGGGGCAGGACTTCCAGCCAGTATTGGGAGGGAGGGGCAGTGGGAGGGCAGTGAAGCAGACGCTGTCCCTGTTCCTGACAGGGTGCCTCGGGCTTCCATCTTTGCTTCCACCAGGCCTGGCCCAAAGCGCCTGGAGCCTTGGGTCCTTGGCCGCCTTCCCCAGGGCCAGGGCTGTCAGAGCTAATTATCCAATTAGCTGATTAGCCAGGGAGCCTGGGGGCTGCCTGGGGAGGCAGGCTCAGCTGGGCATGCAAAAGTCTAGGTCCTGAAGCTCCGCCTGCTCCCTGATTAGCTGTAAAGACCCCAGCCTCTTCCCTCACATCAAGGTGTCCCCAACCCTGTCTGTCCATCTGCGCCTGCTTACAGGTGGTCTCCTACCTGAGACTGCTGTGGGATGTTCAGAAAGTTGCCGTCCCGGGGTCCGATGCTGACAAACCGGTTGGCAGAGGAGGCGCCTGTCGCTGCGAATGCTGTGGGAGCAGGGAGAGAGGGAGAGACCCCGTCAGGCCTTGGGCCACCTGGGTACTGCCCTTCGGGACTGCTGAGAGGGAGAGACTGGGTTAGACTGTGCTGTGCTGCCAAATTTAGGCTGGGCCAAGGGCTCCTGTGCTAAAGACCAGGCTCCAAGCCTGCCCCTCCTCCACACGAGGGGCCCCTCGTCCTCTCCCGACCAGAAGCACACACCCCACCCTCCCCCAGCCCTGGCAGCCTCAATCAGGCAGCCTCTTTCAGGGCCCAGGATAAGGAAGGAGCCCTGGAGGCTGTAGCTGAGGTCTCTCAGACCCAGTTCTGTCCCCTACTGAGATACTGGACAGGGTTGGGGACAACCTGGTCCTTAATGTGCCCTCAGTGGGTATCCTGGCTTTCCTACTTGAAGAGAGGGTCCAAAGAAGGGTGGCAGCTTTGGACCCAGGCACCCAGGTGGCCTGCCTCCACCCTGCGTGGGGAAAGTGTTCTCAGACCACTTTTCAGGCCATGTCAAGTGCACCCTGGGCAGTCCTAAGGAGTGGGTAGGTGATGTGGGGAACTCCAAGGGGACCCAACAAAGGACTGAGCCAGGAAGGATGGGGTCAGAGAAGGACGTAGGAGCTGACCTCTCAGCTTTGGCCTGGGGCAGCAAAGCCTGTGCCTTTCTTCTCTGATCAATGCACCTGGCCCAAAGGGTTCACGGTCCCAAAGCCTGAAATGGGCCAAGGCTACAGAGGAAGAGGAGGCCGGAGTGCCTGGCAGAGCCCCAAAGCTCAGTCACCTAGGGACAGCTGTCCTGCAGCCCCAGGTGGCAAATGAACCGAACACCCCTGAGTTCTTCTTGGGTTATCTGGCTAGAGCCCAACAGGAGGGAACAGGCCTTGTACTCCCAGGAGGGAAGATGTCCCCAGAGGGGAAAAAGAGTGTCACCGGTTGCCCATCCCCTGCCCTACACCAGTTATACTCAGGGACCCCATGCTCACCAGGTTCTGTCCACCTCTCTTCAGAAGTGCCCCCCAACCTGCGGCCTGAACTCCCTTCTCCAACCCTGCCCACTTCAGATGACCATGGTCATGACTTCGTGTCTTATGGTAGATGCAGATGAGAAGATGGCATGAGAAGGATGGGGGGAAGAACTCAAACCAAGAGAAAGGAGGAGAAACAGGGCCAACAGACAGCAGTGAGGTGGGCCACCCGCCCACCACTGCAGCACCCTGGCCTATGGCCTGTGAGCCACAGGGCCCTGCCCACCCTCGGCCACCCTGCCCACAGACAGCGCACAGCCCACCCTCCATCTTTCCTGTCCTTCACGTCGGGTCTACCTGGGGCCTCTTGACTCAGATTTTTTCTTTTCTTCCTTTTGATAAAATTTGTCACCAGTTTTAAAGAAAAGAGAAAAAAAGGGGGGGGGGGGAGGAGAAAGAGAGAGAGATGAAGTAGCAGAGGCCCAGAGCCCTCCCTTGTCCTTGGAACATCAACCTAGGAAAGGAATTAAGGGATTGAGGGGAAGGAAGGGGAAAGGATGGGAGGAGGAGGAAAAAAAAAAAAGAGGAACAACGAGAAACCAAATGTGAGACTGAGGGTGGGGGGTCAGGGGCTGGCCTCCTGCATCTTTAGAGGCCCAAGAGCCAGGAAAGGAGGTAAGGGAGGTAAGGCAAAAAGGGGATGGTGGTGGCGTCGCCTTGTGGTCACATTTAATTTTCTTGGTGTGTGTGTAGGAACAACGAAACAACAAAAAATTGAAAAACAAAAACAAAAAAACAAAAAACAAAAAAACAGCAATCAGGCATGAAGATGGCATGGCTGTGCCTCCCCGCCCCCTCCCACCCGCGCCAGCACCCCTGGCCTGGCACCCCACTGTGCTGTCCCTCCCGCCCCCCAGGGGGGCCTGGGCCAGGGGCCCCAGCTGGGAGCAGCAGGCAGGGGGCTCATGGGGTGCTGGCTGGCGCAACAGAGGCCCGGGAGGCTGTGGCTGGGGGCTTGGCTCTGCTCTTGTCCGGGCAGGTGGCTCCATGGCGCTCTGGGCTGGGGGCTTTGGCATGGGTGTGGGGCTGTTCTCTTTTGCGGTGCAGACTGTTTGGATGGGCCGGGGACGCTGGGCGTTGTGGTTTCAGTTTCATCGTCCACTTACAAGGTGATGGAGGAGTCAAGGCGGCGCCGTCTGGGGCAGTGCTGGTGGATTTGGAATCAGGCATAGGAAGGGGCACAGGTCTGGCCACTGGAGGCGGCGGCGGTAGCAAAAATGACCCCGGGACTTTGCCCTGGCCGCTACCGTTGGGCTGCGAACAACATAAATAGAGTGACGCATGAAGGCACATCACACACAGACACACGCTCCCCTGCGCGGCCGCACCAGCTCGCTCCGGAGAGCCGGCGCTCCCGGTGGAAGATGCAGGATTGGGAAGGTCCTCTCATCCGGGGCACAGGATGGGTAAGGGTGTAAGGCCTCTATTTGGTCTCTCGGGTGTTTCTCTCTCTCTCTCTCTCTCTCTCTTTTTTTTTTTTTTTCAGTCCTCTTTTGAAGTTGTGGGAGAAAGGAAGGGGGTCGTCCGACAGGTGATTTGTTATTTCTTAAGGAAAATGTTTTAGGTACAAAAAAAGTGCCACCTAGCAATGTGTGCAACTGTACTCAGCGTTCTCACACTCCTGAAGACCTTCTCCCACAGCAGGAAAGACGAGCCAGCTCACCCCCACCATCCCCCAAAGGCACATGCGGGCCTCCCTCCAGGGCCCGGCCGGGCGGGCTGACCAGCCAAGGACTGCAGGCCCGTCCAGCATCCATTCTTGGCACAGCCTCAGGAGGACGCCGGCAGGGAGGAGCTCACTCTGGGCCCCGGCAGCCAGTGTCCTCAGCGCCTGTGGACAGTGGGGTGCTGGCCTTTTCTCTAAAGAACAGCCAGGGAGGAAAACGCGCTGCTGCCAGCTCCAGTTTCCGTGAGGTTCTTCAAGAGTGCTTCCCTGGACGACGCCCTCAGGAGCCAGGGAGGTCAGGCCACCAGGATCCACTCCTTGTCCTTTATGCCCTCTTTGGCCTCAAACTTGAGTTTCCTCCTCCAGGCCCTGTGCCTGGCCTTTCGTGGGTCAGCCTTCTGGCTTCAGAGAAGGGAGTTGCCAAAGGCTCCCTTGCCTCTTTCCTGGAGCCTCCTGCTACTCTGGGCAGCACCCTCAATGCCCACCTACAGCCCAGACATGGGGAGGCCCAGCCCCAGCTCTTTGTCCTACCCTATGGGGCAAAGCTCTGCCCTTATGATCACCCAGCTATGAGACCCGTGGGGGGTCCCTGTGCTCCTCCTCCTATCAGTGGACAAACTCTGTGAAGTCCACCCACCCAGTGCTTGAAGTCAGCCCGTCATTCTGTCCTCATTCATTTCACCAAGACAGTAATAGTGACACTCCAGGGGTGCCCCTCTGCAACAGTGTGTCCGTCAGCTCTGTGCCCTTGGTGCTCAGGCCTAGACCAGGCACTTTACTTCAAGTCCTGCTTAGAGAACACTTCCTCTCGGCGGGACCAGCTAGATTCCTGAATCACATTCCTTGCTCTCTGTCCTGTTCTTCCAGGACACCCTGGACCTCCGAGTGGTGACTGGAGATGGCAGAAATGGGCAGTACTGAGTCCCACTGACCAAGAGAGATTGCCCTGCTGTCCTGCTGCAGTTTAAAATCACAGAACTCACAGCTGACCCGTGCAGGCCTCACTCGGCTCAACTTTAGCTTTTAGCCCTTTGTCCTCTATCCCTAATGACCAGCACTTAAGTCTGACATATTATTCCTCTAAATTGTTCCCTCAACTATTCTTGCTTCTCTGACGGTGACAATTCTCAAAGGCCTTGGACAAAGCATGCAGTGGCTTCTGGTCCCTGTCTGTGTCAGGCTGGAGACCCTTTGTGCTAGGTGTCTTTTTGGAAAGGGCAGGGATTTCCAGTTCTGCAGGGGTGACACCCAGATCCAAATAGCACTGCCTCTCCTCATTTCCATGGCCAACCTGGTTCCTATCTCATTCTTCCATCAAGACAAAAAATAGAATAGTCCTGAATCCCCACTCCTTCTCTCTGGGCATCCTGAACTCATGTTCCCAGGAGCTGAGACACAAGCTTCCCAGGCAGCACTTGTTGCCCTAGGGTGGCCTCTGCCTCCTTCCTGCCTTCAGAGCCTGTCTCCCCTAGGAGTATCTAAGCTGCTAATCTCACTGGCTACAGTGGAGCATGCCTGTAATCCCAGAGACTCTGGAGGCTGAGGCAGGAGGACCATAAATTCAAGGGAAGTCCCAGCAAATCAGAGAGGCCCTAAACAACTTAGCGAGATCCTGTCTCAAAATAAAAAGGCTGGGGATGTAGCTCAGTGGTAAAGCATCTGGGTTCAATCCCCAGTACCAAAAAATGAAAAAGTAAATTAAACCACTAATTCTATCCGATAGGGCTAGTCCTGGCTCGGTCTGATAAGGCATTACAGTTTGTGATGTACAACATTCTGTTTCTTGAAGTAACTTTCAACCAGGCTGGGAGGTTAGCTGCGGCTGGAGTGTAAATCAAGGTTTTAAATATCTCAAGTTCCTGTGACTCTGCGGTACCTTACAACCTCACCTGAGAGCCGGTATGGCTCCTCACTTTGATCTTACAGTTAAAGATGCGGGCCTGGCCATCCCAACGTGGGCAAACAAGGCTGAGCCACAGCCAGTCTTCCTGCCTCTCAGAATCATGCCTTCCCAGTGGGTCTGTGACTTTCCCATTCACTTGGCCACCTCTTCTCCCTCTCCAAAACACAACTCCTCAAGCATCTTCTTTCTGTCCTTCTCCTAGTGGTGTCTCCACTTGCCCTTGGCTACTATTGATTTGGTTCTTTGAAACCAGTGTGTGGCCAAGGTGTGGTACTACATTCCTGTGATTCTAGCTACTTGGAAGCTGAGGGCAGGAGGATTGCAAGTTTGAGGCCAGGCTGGGCAGCTTAGCAAGAACCTGTCTCAAAAAAATAAATAAAAAAGGCTGCAGATATAGCTCAGTAATAGAACATCCTTGGGTTCAGTCCTCAGTCTCCTCAAAAAAAAATTTTTTTTTTTAATGAAATCAGTGCATGCCTTACCCTAGGGTCCAAGGACAAGCTATCAGGGTGCCTGGGAACCCTCCTGCAATTGTTTATAAAGTTTCTCCATGTATTTTCCTGCAAAGTTAGTCAATAACTTCAGATTCTTGAGGAGGTTAGAAAGTTTCTTCTCTAGGCTCTAGATCACTGATTTCAAAGTGGATCTCCTGGCCAGCAACACCAGCATTGCCTGGGAGCTTGGGGGAAAATGCAGCTTCTTAGGCCCTCCCCCAACCCCACCGAAACAGAAGCTCTGGGGCTGAGGGCCTGTGAACTCCTCTTGTGCACAGTAAGTCTGAGAACTACAGCAAGTTCAGCTGGCCTTTGGCTCTCTGCAGCTACATCAGATTCCTCCATAGCATGCTGGTGACTCTTGGCTCTCATCTCCTCTCTGAACCTAGGGATGGCCCTCTGGAGCAGGCTCCCCGCAGATCCCCCTCCTCTCTCTTCAGATGACAGACTACAAGAGGAAACCCAGAGAGGCTGCTCCCCAGCCTGGCTATACTCTGCTTCATCAGGGTGCCTGTTCGCAAACCTGCCTGCAGTGTTTTCTCTGAAGCAAAAGAAGAAAACCTTCTTAAGCAAAATGAGATCTCAATCTTGAAAAGTCAAGTGAGAAGCTCAAGACCCAGCCCTCAGTCTCTAGGTCCACTCCATTTTTACTCCAAGCCCTGCCTGCCTAGGTGAAAAGGCAAGCAAGGCAGCATTCCTGGCCTCTCAGTTCTACGTTCCTGACATCAGGCCTTTTGGGAACCAGGGCACAGGCTAGTGGCTCCCCATCGACACTGCCACATCTCTGAAGGAAGTACAGCAGTTGCCAAAGGTCAGGTCTACTCTTCTACGCCCCTGAAAGCAGAACAACGCTTGTCCCGAGAGGAGGGCAAGGCTACCAGTGTCCTGAGGAGCTGCAGTCAGCCAGGGAAGCCCTCACAGGGCAAAGGGGAAAAGGAGATAAGGAGGAAAGAGAAAGGAAAGCAAGAGGGAGGGAAGAGATGGACGGAGAGCCCGGAGGCCGCGGCTCCAGGAGGCCCATCTCTAATCACATACCAGCGCACAGCAAATGCCCACTCTACGCAGAGTGCACCAAGACAGCACCAGCCGAATGGAGGACGCTGGCCACTCTCGCTGGGCTGCCTCTGGCCACAGCCCTGGAGCTTCCCCGACACCAATGTGACACACACCTCTCACAGCAGGAATCCAGGCTGCCACAGCCAGCTGAGAGGGCTGGGGCTGTTCACAGCACAGCCTGCTGCCTGGGCTACAGAACCTTCCCAGAGGTCTAGAGACAACGTGTCCCAACCCAGAGTGACCCCCGAGGACCTGAGCGTCCCACCTGGGGTCATCTCTGGCCCACCACCTAGGATAATCCCTTTGCTGCATAACCGGGCCCTGAGGCTCTTAGGGATCTCCTCTGTCCCCAGGGCTGAGAAGAGCTTCACGGTAAAACCAGAATGGTCCTGGGAACCCCTTAAGAGTCCTGCTGACAGGAGAATCCATGGCAGCTCCGTGGATTGGGGCCTCCCTTCACACAGAGCTGCTCATCTGGGCACGGCCTTGCTGCCCACACAGCTCACTGAAATCCGAGACATTTTGGATTGACACAATTGGGGAGCAGAAAGGAACTCCTGGCATCTGTCAGGTAGAGGCAAGGGATGCTACTCAGTATCCTACAGTGCCCAGGGCAGCCTCACACCACAGAGAACAAACAGCTGCAAATGTCAACAGCCATGCCAAACTCTTGCCTGGAACCTTGTCAAATCCTTGCATCTCTGAGGTGTAAGAGGGGCACTGGGAGGTGGGGGGCTCAAGCCCTGGATGGAGAGATCACAGGTTCACTTCTGCTGAGGAAATAAGGCCCACAGGGAGGGCAAGGAGCCCAGGCAGGATGGGCCCAGACGTTGATGCCCTCCACCTTTCCAGACCTTGATGGATAGGCCCTGATATAACGCTTGGACACTCAACCCCAGACCCAGAAAAATCAAGGTGTGTGTAAGACTGCCTCCCTGTTGCTCCAGCCCCAAGTGGGCCCTCTCCTTATAAGCCCTGAGACAGACAGACAGACAGAGGTGCAGAGATGAGGCTGCCGCAGGGCTCCTGGGGCCCTCTGGACTCACCTGTCCTGTGGCCTGGCCTGAACCATCCGAGCACACAAACTGCACAAACTCCTTCAGCGAGTCCTGCCCATGGTGGTGGTGGTAGCGGATGGTCGGGTGTGTGAAGTATGGGCTCGACTGCTGGATGATGGACGTGGAGGGGAAGTGCAGGGCTGACGCTGTGGCCCGGGGGCTCCCTGCATGCACATGGGCAAGAAGAGAAAGGCATCAGGGCTGAGGAGGCAGCATTGGGGGCATGGCAGAGGGGAACTGGTGATCCAGGGCCGAGGATGTTGAGGAAGAGGGAGAATGGGGAGGGAGGAGGGTGAGGCAGGACAGCTACTTGACAGGCACCAAAAGAGCTGTCATCCAGGTCAGTGACATTTAATGTGTCCTAAAACTAAAGATAAGCATGTGTGAGGCCCTGGATTTGATCCCCAGCACCACAAAAATAAAACCAGAAAAACCCCCAAAATACCCAGATAATAATCAAATTAGTAGGCTCGGGCCTGAGGGCCAGCCACTTGTTTTTATAGGCAAAAGGTGGGCTGGGGTCTTGGCTCAGTACACTTCAAATCCCGGGTTCAATTTCCAGTACTGAAGAAAAAAAAAAAAAAAGAAATTAAAACTTTTAAAAAATTAGAGATGTGATTGGAACTAGGCTGGGTATTACAACAAGGAGACAGGTGAAGCAGGGTCCTGCTCAGACAGAGATCCTGTCTCTGTTTAAAATCGTTTAGCTTGTTATTTGCTTATCGTATGCTTTTTTTTTTTTCTTTTTCCCTTCAGTGCTGAGGATTGAACCCAGGGCTTCACACATGCTAGGCAAGCACTCTAATACTGAGCTACAACCCCAGGCCTTTTTATTTTAGTTTGAGACACAATTACACTAAATTGCTGAGGCTGGCCTCAAATTTGCAATCCTCCCATCTCCACCCACCATGTATCTGGGATTACAGGTTAAGTGCCACCCTAGCCAGCTTATCATATGTCTTCTTGTAATAGTTTTTTTTTTTAATTTTTTAAATAATGCATTAAAATATTACTTATCTTGATGACTGTGTTTTTGGCACCCTCTGACATTCTATGCTGAAGATAAACAACTGGCTTTCCTGGGGTACAGGCCCTGTGGGAAGCCTGGGTGAGGGACTATGTGGGCAGATAGCTACTGGGCTCTAGATAAAGACCTGCCCCATGCTGGTGCCAGAAAGGCACTGGACATACACACTCACACCTCCTGAGTGCAACGTGGGATGCTCCCACTCCCAGCACAGGCTGCCTTCACGTGCTCAGCCCCATGGCCCTCGCACGCGTGCCCTTGCACACGCAGTCCCCCCGGCACAGGCCTCCTCTCCTGATGGGCCCTCCCTCTCTCCGGTCTGTTTCCAATCAGCTGCTCTAGCTGGTTTCATTAGGAGGCTAAGGAAACTTGGCTTCTCTCTGGAGTTCATAAAAACTGACTCAGAGCAGAGTGGGGCCTGATGCCCTCCTGCTGCCTGGGATCCCTGCCCCCACCTTGCGGCCACCACACCCTGCCCCAGCACCCGCTGCCTCTGGGCTCCCAGCCAGGAGGCCCTGAGGAGGAAGCCAGAAGGTAAACCTCCCTGCTCTGTGTCCTGAGCAAAGAAGCCCGCTAGAGAGACAGTGGACAGATGTAGGCCTGTGCCCAGGCCTCATGCTACCAGGTGGGTACCAGGGAGGGAAGAAAAAAGCAAGGGAGTGAAGGAGCTCCCCAAGTGACACCCCCCAACCTCCTGCCTGCTCCCACTCCTCACACTAGAGACACGGAAGGGAGAGATGCGCCCTCAAGGCAGCAGGTGGAACCCTTTCCCAGGGGCCACCTGTCCCCCAGGCCCAGCCCTTCACATCTGGAAAAGGGCAGAGAAAACCAGAGAAGGCAGCTGCTTGCCCCAGGATACAAGGCAGGAGACCAGGGGCTCTAAACAGTGTTGTTTTTTCCCAGTCCTGGTGATGGAACCCAGGGCTTCACACAGTCTAGGCAAGTGCTCTGCCGCTGAGCTCCACCCCCAGACCTTTTTGTTTTGTTTTGAGACAGGCTCTTGCTAAGTTGCCCAGACTACCCTCAAAATCATGACCCTCCTGCCTCAGCCTCCTGCATCACTACACCAGGCAGAGTGGTCTTTTCAATCTATGCCACCCTGGGTTCATGTTGGGAGACCAGACCCTGGGCTCAGCTAGGGGTTGGTAGAGAAGAGCCAAAGGCAGGCAGGGTGGGAGGGTGCTTTCCCACTATGGCTGACGGGATGGAGGTAAACTGGGCCTGAGGCCTGTCTGGCTGGAGAGCAGGTTGGAGGAGACTCAGGAGGTTCCTAGTGAACATGCAGTACACACATGCACCCACACACTCTTGCACATGGGTATCAGAAGCAAGTGGGAGGGTGCTTGGGAACCAGGTGAGCAGACTCAGGGCTAGGCCTGGTGGTGGGTGGTGCTGCAAGAAGGGGTGGTGCTGCAAGAGGGCCCCCCGTCCCACTTATCCTTGCTGCCACATCATCACCCACACAGGGAGCCTTGGGCTGTCATCCAGTCAGTCTTGGCCCCTGCACCTGGTCAGCTTCCCCTTGGCACTTGGCCACCTCCCATACTGCCCGCTCCAGGTCCCCCATTTCTCACCTGGTCTGACTCCAGCAAGCACAGGCAGCGGGTGGTGGGTGAAAGCCATGCGTGGGGAGCTGCCCTGAGAGGAGAGGGCACTGCAGAAGTCCAGCTTTCCTGACTTCTTTAGAGAAGCCGGGCCTGGGGGGAGGAAGCAGCAACACAGGCAGGTTTAGCCAGGCCAGGGTGGGAGCAGGAAAGGTGGGAAGCCAGCAGCTCGCTCCCTCTATCCTCGGGGTGCCCCTGCCAGCCCTTCTTCCACCATGAGGCCTCCTGCCCACGATGCCTTATCTGGGCTCCTCCATGCCCCATGTGCAGATTGGCCGTGGGTGCTTCTGGCAAGAGAGGAAAATAAAGCCCCTGCATGACATGGGCTGCATGTGCTGGGCTGGGGCTGAGCAAGGGGAGCCCATCCTGCCCACTAACAAACACATAAGGGAATAAAAAGGGGTACCACAGGGCCAGCATCAGAAATGGGGTGCAGGAGGAACCTAGGGAGCCAGTTTGAGAGCCTGGGTGATGGCTGTGATGAAGGGGGCCAAAGGGCCAAGCCCAGGAGGTACTCTGGGCCCTGGGCCACTCTGGTGGGAAGAAACCAGTGCTCCCTTTTGGGAAGGGAAAACACAGTCAGGGGCCCTGGGAGGGACACACATCCAACAGAGCAGCAGGGAGTGGGGCCAGAGGGCCTGGGTGGGTCCTAGGGGCAGAGCCAGAGGAAAAGGATGCCCCTTTTCAGGGGATTTGGAGGCTGGGGATGGGCTCTGCTCCTGGTGCCAGAGTGGTATTCTGCAGGAGACAGGCACAGAGAAGACACCCTATTTGAGCTTCTTCGAAGAGCCAGAAGCTACCAGCCAAGGGCATCTCTGCCCAATAGGTGTGACATCCCAAAGACACCAGGGCAAAGAGGGCTCCCAGTGGATGAGGTCTCTGGGGGAGTTCATCTGGACTGAACCTTGTCCTGGGCTGAACTTCTCTTCCTGGGAGAGGTGAGGTGGAGGGGAGGCAGATCTGTAGAGCTGCCATCTTTGAGGGACAAATTGAGTCAGTTGAGGGGGGGGGGCTGTAGAACAGAGAAAGAAGAGCCACAACGGCATTGGAAAGAGGCGGGGGAAGGGTGAGCTCCCAGCCGCCAGCAGAGGTGTTATCTGGCGGCAGCTGTGTGCCACCTGATAGCTGGCATGGTGGGGGGAGGGAGCCCCCCACCAGCTGTGCACAGCTGTCCCTGCTGCAGAACAGCGCCTCCCCAGCTGTTCCCCATCCTGCAGCTGGGCTGCTTAATTGGCGATTTGTCGCAGCCCAGGGAAACACGACAAGGAGGGGGAGGGAGCTGGGGGTGCTGCAGGAGGATGTTGGGGGTGCCGTGCATGGCAGGACTGCAGGAAGAAGCAGAAATGGCAGGCGCGAGAGCAGAGAGCTAAGAAGGAAAAAGCAGGGGCCAGGAAGAAGAGGGCTCCTTGGATATTAGGTCTGTGCGGAGGGTCCTGGAAGCCCTCCTCCCAGGAGCAAGTGGCAGCAGATGGGGCCTCAAGGCACCCCAGTGGCAGTCTTGCAGGAGAGATCACCTGACTGAGGTCCTGGCAGGGGCCTGGGATGCAGCCCAAGTCTCCTGGGTCCTCTCAATTCCCCCTCTCTGTGCCACCAGAGGCTCCCCCAAGGAGCAGTATGGGCCATGCTAGCCCAGGACTTGTCACAAGGAAACACTGGAAGGGCCACCAAAGTCACGCTCATGCTGGGGCTTCTTCCCACAGAGTCCAGTCTCCACTAGAGGTCTAGAGGGTCTTGAGCCCACTCCCTCAGTCAAGGCTTGGAGGCTTTGCTTCCTCCTGGGAGCCAAGAGCAGAAGCCAGAGCCTGCATCTGTAGCCTTTCCACTGGCCACCCCCATCCCTGACCCCAATCTGTAGCAGACAAGGTGCCATTAGGTCAGACTCTGAATGAATAAAGCCCAGTCCTCTGTCTCTAGCCCTGTCCAGAGCAATATGCCCTGTGTACACCCCACATGAGCAGATATGCACTCCCAGGCCCCAAGACCCTCATCCCTTAAGGACCTACACAGGCCATAGGTCCGACATGTCAGGCAGGGTCCCCTGCAATGAGCCTCCTCTCTCTCCCCCTTTCTCCTTCTCTCTCTCTCTCTCTCCCACACACACACACACACACACATACATACACACACACACACACACGCACGAACACGCATGGGCACACACACTCCCTCCTGAGCTCTCTAGTCTGTCTACACCCTCAGCCAACACTGGAGGTGAAAGTGGGTGGGCTCCACATGCGTAGGCCAATCAGAGGGAAGCAAAGGTCTGAGCTGCTTCTTACAGGCTTCTCAGAAGTTCACCCTTCATTAGAGCTTCCCCGCCTGGTCTAAAAACAGCTCTGCCTGCTCTTCACTGGGCTCTGAATCTCTCTGTAAGTTGGCCCTAGCCTCCTTGAGGCCAGGACGAGTCTGTCCCCTAGCAGGTATTCAGCGATGTCTGAAGACATTTTTGTTCCTCAAAACAGGGAGTGAGTGTTTACTACTGGCATCTGGCAGGTGGAGGCCAAGGATGCCACCCAGCGCGACAATGCACTGGGCTGTCCCCACTGCAGAGTGACCAGGTCTCAAATGCCACTGGGGCCCTGGTTGAGAAAATGGCTTTAAACTCTGGGGACCACCAGGCTGGGCAATATCTGCAGAAATATCAAGAGGAGGAGGCTGTGAAGCAGAGGCCATAGCCCCCCACCACAGGGCACCTGAGGCTTGCAGGTTTTCCCCCACCATGCCCATAAGTTCTGCTGCCCACTCAGGGGTGGCCCAGCTCCTTGCCTCCACTCCCCTCCTTCAGTTGGTGTGCCCACTTCAGAAATCTAGGAGGGAGACTGGTAGTGCCACCTGACAATGGGGAAGTCAGTGGAGGCTCTGGCTGCTCTGGGTCTGGGTGAGATGGAACTGCCATGCCCATACCTGCATCCACATCGTTGGGCCACCCACTGGACTGGCTGCTGCCAGCTGCTGGGGAGCGGCCTGTCCCGGGATAGAACACGTCGTCGACAGGGCTCTCCATCTCACTGTCATCAATGGACTTGGGGCGCTTGGTGGTGCTGGGGAAGGAAGAGAGGGTCAGATGGGCCAAGGCTCCGAGGAGTCACTGGGTGCCCCGGCTGGAGAACTGTATATCGACAGCCCCCTGTGTGAGGAGCAGGTGCCAGCCCGTAGCACTGCTTCTGGACTCTCCCCTGGATGCCCAACCTGAGACCAGCCCACCTGCTCCCTAGAGCAAGGCAGTTCCAAAATCTGCTCCCTCAGGAGCCCTTTATGGTCCATCCAGGGCCCATCCAAGAAAGGAGCACCTGCTTCCTCTGCCCCACCCACCATTTCCTGTCAGTCCCCAAGGGCCAGTGAGGTACTCTCAGAGACAAAAAGGTCAGAGGTACCACAAAACTCAGTCATCAAGGTAAAGAATATTTTAATGAAAGATTTTAAAAACTCAAAATGAATGCGTAACCAGGCATGGTGGCACATGCCTGTAATCCTAGCAACTCTGGCGGGTCAAGGCAGGAGGATCACAAGTTCAAGACCAGCCCAGGCAACTTAGCGAGACCCTGTCTCAAAATAAAAATTAAAAGGGTTGGGATGTAGCTCAGGTGTAGAGTACCCCTGGGTTCAATCGCTAGTCACACACACACACACAGAGCCTAAAACCTCACAGTGAACAAAAAAAATCCTAGTTTTAAAAGAGGACAGAACCATGAGGGTGGGGTTGTGGCTCAGTGGTAGAGCGCTCGCCTAGCACGTGTGAAGCCCTGGGTTCGAGTCTCAGCACCACATAAAGATAAATAAATAAATAAAGGTATTGTGTCTGACTACAACTAAAAAATAAATCTTTAAAAGAAAATAAAAATGAATAAAAGAAGACAGAACCTGACTCTTCCCTGCAAGATGTACCTGATGAGGCCAACTGACTACCGGCTAGCACCTCTCAACTCTTCCCCTTCTCTCTAGCGTAATCCACCTACTCAGACCCTTCCCCAGCCCAGCCCGGAGGCTTGGCCTCCCCACTCTGTCAGCCCTGCCCACACACTGCTGGAGGAGCTGCTGGAACACACAACCCCAGCCCCGCTCAAAACTCTTCAGTGTCTCTGCCGCCCTAGATGAAGTCCACACGCCTTCCTCAGGTCTCCAAAGTCCTCTTGGGGTGGCCCTGCCAACCTCTCCAGCTTTGACTGGAGGGAGGCTGCCTGGAGCATCCATCCCACGTCCCCCAACCACCACCTCTGCCATGTGTCTGGGATCAAGTGCCACCTCTCCAAGAGGAGACCTTGCCAGACTCTACTTCTAGCCAAGACTTGTGCAGGTTTGGTCCCCAGGGGCAAGTGCTGTGTGACAGGAAGCTCAGTGGGGTAGCTGAGTACAGTGGGTCCAGGCCACGGCGAGCTAGTACCTCCAACAAGGGGTAACATCCTGAAACATCCAGGCCCAGGCACTGTGAATAACGGGGGGTCATCTGGGGCAGACCGAAGGCGGCAGTGCTAGGCTTACCTGGTGGAAGGTGGGGAGGTGATGGACCGCCGCCCCAGGGTCACCTGGTTTATGTTGTAGTAGCTGGGACTCTCCAAGTCGGCCAGCGAGAAGTTGGGCCCTGACGCTGTTGCCACAGGAGCTGGGAAGAGTAAGAGGCTGGTGAGGTTTAGAAGGTACCAGAGGCCCCACAGGGCCTGTAAATTGCCGTGAGCAGCTCCCAGAAGCCCGGGGGGTTTGCTGCAGGGACACAGGATAGGAAGGTGGGCCACCTGTGCTGCTGAGAAAACCTCCCCCCAACCCCCACTGGGGTTCCTCAGGGAAGAGCCTTTGGTTGTGACTTTTTTTTTTTTCCCTAAAGCAGCAGAGATTAGAGCTGGCTGGGGCTCTCTGGACAACTCTGCTCCACCCAGCCTATGGCCAAAGAGACAGAGGAAGTCCCTTCTCTGTTTTGCTTGATCTAAGACCCCATCAGAACGGGGGCCCTGTGAGGTCCAAGTCCCCACACCTCAGCCCAACCTCAGCCCAATTCTGGTCCCTAGCATGAAGGAAGGACTCACTTACTCTGTGATACTCTCACCAGCTCCGTCACATTCCAGACCCCGGAAGTCACAAAACAGTCCTGGAAACTTAAGTGCCCTAAGAGGGAAAAGGGCTAGTGAGTCAGGCAAGTTTGGGAGGGGGCTGTCCGCTTGTTTCTGACTCCCTCCCTCCCAGCCCTGTGTGGGCTCCAGGCTAGCTCCCAGGTCTTCCCTGAAGAGGGCATTTGCCCCAGGTGAGTCCCTCTCCTTGGGAGGGCAACCCAAGTTCAGTCAAAGGATAGCTGAGGGAAGGAGAATCCCAGTCGGCCAGGCCAGAGGGTGGGGCAGCAAAGACGGGGGGGGTGGGTGGGCACGTAGTGGGCAGGAAACACTGACCGTTGGGCAGTGGTTTGATGTCCGCATCTCCTTGCTGGTTTGAACTATCTGATTGTCCGGATTCTGCAGGAGACACAAAGGGGAGCATGGATCAGGGGCAAAGCTTTGCACCAACTGCAGCTGAGCAGCTGCCCTCAAGCTCTACGGGGAGGGTGGCCCACCCTGGCCAGCAGACAACTTCACCCAGTGCCCTCTCCCCAGCCAGCCCAGGGAGACCAGCAGAGGGAAGGACAAATAGCTCTAGCCCAGTGCAGGTTTCTTTGCCTATTGACAACCTACTGACATTTGGGCTGGATCATTCTCCATGGGGTGGGTGGGGTGGAGTGGGGGCATCTTGTGCATTACAGGGTATTTAGCAGCACCCTTGGCCTCCATGCTAGATGCCAGTAGCCCCCAACAGTAACAACCCATACTGTCTCTAGATACTGCCCAATGTCCCCTGAGGAACAAAGTCACCCATGGGTGAATGGCGCTAGTAAGAGTTAGAAGCAAGGAGGTGCCCAGGAAAGAAGCCAGCAAGCAGGGTCATCTGTGGCTGTGGCGGACCCAAGGGTCCCGAGGAGTATGCTTGCCCCTAACCTCATCAGTTGAAGCCAGTCCTGTGGGCCCGCACCTCCCCCACCTCACCTTTGTGCTTGCAAGCAGAGCCTGGCAACCCTGAGCGGGAGGTCTGCCCTGCCACCACCCGCTCTGTGCCAGCCTGTCTAGGCTGTCTCATGCCCCAGTGCCACAGCTGCTCAGAGGGAGCCCCAAGACAAGGGCCCATTGTGCAGTGGAGCTCACAGAGGGCTGGGGGCAGGGTAGAGTGTATGTGTGTGTGTGTGTGTGTGTGTGTGAATATTTTGCTGAGCTTGGGAAAGCCCCCCACCCCCGCCCCAGGTCCTCAAGGCTTTGTGTGCCAGGGACACAACGGGGACCTCCAGAATGCCTGCCTGGACACGACAGCTGGCAAGAGGGTGGCAGGGTGGTGGGGCAGGTTGTGGGGCAGGAAGAAGGCAGGCGCTTGGTAAAGAATCGGCTGCTTGCAAGGCCGGTGGTGTGGTGGCATCTGAACGGGCTGTGGTGCTGGCCAGGGCTCTGTTCAGCTCTTCAGAGTGACCCTGCCCCCTGAGCCTCCCCACAACCTGCACTCAGCCTGCTGTCCCCAGAGGCACAGGGAAAGAGCTGGGCGCTGGGCTGGCATGCACAACTGCAGCCTGCTGCCGCGGCCCTGCTCTCAGAGTGAAGGCCCTGCCACGTCTGGAGCTGGGAGTTCTGGCCACGCTCCTGGCTCCCTGCCTTGAGGTGATGTGTGTGGAAAAGGGTGACCGTTTGGGGCCCCATTCTCCCCATCCTTTACCTTGTTCCATTTCTTTTTTTAATTTCAAAAAATAATAATAAACCTTGTTCTAACAAATCAAGAAAACATTGTAAGGAAAGTGCCCGCGGGCCCCTGACTCTGGCTTAACACCTCCCTTTTTGCCTGCAGACAGAGACAGTGGATCCTGGCTGGGGCCATATCTTGGCTGGTGGCACTCTCCACTGTGGAGGGAGCCACAAGACCTCCCTGGCAGGGCGAACTCTCTGTGCCCTAGTGTCACAAGGGGTGAACTTTCTCATCTTGGCCCATCCCCGGATCCCTGGCCTGTCCAGGAGGGAGCTGAGGGACCTAGGTGGCAGGTGGCCCACACCAGGGCTCCCTCACTGCGGGCCTCAGGAAAGGGCACATGCCTCAGAACTGGCATGCAGAGCCCAGCAGGGAGCATGTGGCCCTGACCCTGCTGCCCAACCCAGCCAGGAGCCAGGAGCCGTGGGCTCATCCCAGGGCCAGCTCCATCCCACCAAGGCCTCCGGACCCAGTCGGTGGGGTAGGCAGCCTCAGAGTCCACCCATGGGAGCACTGCTGGCCCACTGCAAAGGTGAGGAAGGGAGGCTGCGCACACGCCGCCCAAGGCGGTGTGCACAGGCCCAGCCAGGGAGGAGAGCGCCTGACAAAGGGGTGGAGGTGCGCCAGCCCCAGGCACAGAGCGTGACAGGCAGGAGGGACCCCTGCGGCACAGGACACTGCCCCGAAGGGCACTCCTGTGTCACCATTAGCCACTGTTAAGTAGCAAGTGGAGGGAAGGCGAGGCCGCACGGCCACGCCACGCGCCTCCAGGCGCTGCTCCGGGCGCTGCTGGCAGCCATTTTAGGCTTTGGCAGCCATCTTACAGCCGGCGGCCCAGCCGGCGGCCTCGCCAGCGTCCCCACAATGCCGCCCCCGCCAGGCCCGACATGCTCAGCTCGGCGACAGGACAAAAGGCAAAGACACTAGAAAGCTGGACCCGCGCTCTGAGGTGGAGGAGCCAGCCCTGCAGCAGGGGCAGCTATGGCCAGGACCCCGCTGGTCCGCTCCAGCCGCAGCCCTCACCCTCCTGGCACAGACAGTGGAAAAGGCAGGGAGGGAGGACAGGGTCCTGGGGACACTACTGCTCTGCTCAAAGGCTGATGAAGCCCAAGTGGGCCACATCCAAGCCCAAGGACTCTACTGGTTCATCAAAAGTGGACCACTGCCCGACAGAGTCATGGCCACGCTGGGACAGGAAAGGATGTGAACCTCAGCTCAGGGATGTGCCTCGGACAGACAGGGCAGGGAGTTCACAGGGACCCAGTCGGTGGCTGCAGGGCCCAGACAAATCACTGGGCCCATGGCGGTCTGGCTCCGAGGAAGACGAGAAGATATTCTGCCCCTCCAGACGAGGGAGCCAGCGGGCCGGCTTCTCCTATGGCGGGCTCTCTGGGAGCCCTGCCCAAAGGCTGCCTGCTCTGGACAGACCCCAGGTACCAGGAGCTGTGCCCAGGGAGGACACTACGCAGCAGCCTGCACCTTGACCCCTTTTTGTTTGGGCTCCCTGGGGGAGGGGATGACCCGGGGATTCCGGACACAGAGGAGGAGGCCCCTTTATGACGCCCCTCCCCAGGCCCCCCTCATGGCTGCTTGGCTTTTATCTGGCAGAATAGGGCTTATCAGAGCCACCAGCTGAACAAACACACAAATCCACGGTTAGTGAGAAAAAACACTCTGCCTGAACTCTTTATCTCTTGTTCACAGGCCCCGCACACTGCCCACTGCCAACAGCACAGGAGGGGACCTGATGGAGCACAGCGGGGCTCCGTTCTCCACTCTGGAGGTGGAGGGCTGCCTCCCTGACTCTGGTTGTGCCTCCACTATCCGATCCTCCCATCCGTGTCCCTGCCACCCCCCCTTCCTCCTTCCTTGCCCCCAGCCCAGGGTGGCTCTTCCCTGACAGTCCCTGCCAGGCACACGTGCATGAGTGAGTCCCTGCCCACACAGAGCCCCCCTCCCAGGGTCTGCTTTCTCACCGGGGACAATGGGCCAGCTGGTGGCCTGTGGGCCAGTGGAGAAGCAGGGATGGTATTGGCTGGCACAAGGCAGGCAGGTGCTGGCTCCCTCTCTTATCCTCTCCCGAACAGCTCACACCCAGAGGCTCTCTCCAGGTCCCCAGGCTTCTGGGGCCACATCCCTGGCACCTTTTCCACCTGGACCTTCTCTCTGGCCTGGCTGCCAGAGGAGAGGGGTCCCCAACTGCACACCCCAGTTCAAGGCCACTCTGATTAAGGAGGGGAAGAAACCCCAACCCCCGCCCTGTACCCACCCTCTTCAGAGACCAGAGCTCCCACCAGTTCCTGCAGAGGGAGGAGATGGGATAGAGGATCCCCCCACCACCCTGGACCCAAGACAATCCAATGGCCCCAGGGTCCGAGTGCTGAGGAGCGCAGGTCTCCTCCCAGCTCTACGCTGCCTCCCACTCCACCCACCAAGTGCAGCTGCCACTGTGTCTGACAGATGCCTGGATAAGCAGGCATCTGGGTCCCTACCTTAGGCCAGCTTTGGGGAGGGAGAGAATCTCATTTTCAGTGTTATTAGGTGGGGGGTGGTCAGGCTGGTTTGTGTCACATAGTGCACAGCTCTGCTGACGGTCCCTCTCTGGGGACCTGGGCTGCTCAGGCAATTCACGCCTCTAAGGCACAGACACCCCTGCGCCAGGGGTTGTGGCTACCCCGTAGGCTGATAGAAAGGAGGATCTGAAGGGGCAGATGATAAATCTGGACTCTGGGCAGGGTCCAACTGGACTCTGCAGAATAAGCCTCTGACACGGGATTGGGCTCTGGGCTCCCCAACCACCAGCACCATGGGTCACTCCACTACATCAATGGCTGGTGGACTGGGGGTGTCAGGCAGTGCCCAGAGCAGGGCCAAGCCCTGCTGACAGTAGCCTCCCTCAGGTCCCTCGGTATCCCCAGACAGTTACAAAGCCCCCCAGTGCTGCCCTTGACCCCATGCAGACTCTGGCTTCTCAACCCCTGAATCTCCACCCGCCACAGGGACTTCCTTTATGGTTCTGGGCTCCTGCTTCTGGGCTCCCCTCACGGGTGCCTCCCTCCAGTCCCCGCTCCTCTCCTGCTGCCACCTGCACGTGTGTGCTTGGAGAGGACACTGCCGCTTCAGCAGTGCTCAGGAGGGGAGGCTCCCACAGCCAGGAGGAACCCAGCACTGCCCGCAAACCTTGACCGATAGCGTGCTTATATACATATATATATATATTTTTTTTTTTTTCAGCCACAGACGGGGATATGTTTATGGCGCCCACTAGGTGAGGGAGGAATTCCTGCTCACTGCAGCCAACACTCTCCTCGGCTCCCACACAGAACAAATGTGCTCTATGAAAGGGTTGCGTGTAATTTGCCGGCCAGCTGCCCCTGTGGACTTCACCCAGCTAATTCTTTGGGGGCCGAGAGGGGTGCCCAGATCTGCTTAGCTGCACCCACAAATGTGTGCCCAGGCATGTGTGTAGACTCCGGAGAGCACACTTGTCATCAGAAGCACATGCACACTTGGAGATGTCACAAGCCCTGACTGTCAAGAAAGGGTAGAATAAGATGGCACGGCCAAAGCTGCCTGAAAAGAATCCCCTTTGACCCAGGGGACTGCTGGCCTCCAAGGGTGGGGAACACAGCCCTTGGGGGATGCCTGCCCTCCCCCTGGCCCTCCCCAGACCCGAAATTCCAGAAGCAGGCAGGGT